TTATCCAGGTACGGGAACTATCGATAGCGTTTACGGATGATCCAACTGGAGATCAAACTTAGGAGCTTCAGGTTTCATATCGAGCAGTTAATATTTAGAACGCTTAACCAGCTTGTTTAGTTATCTCATATCTGATTGTTATAAATGGATGATTATATTTAACTCTCTCTCTCTCTCTATCTCCCTCTCTCTCTCTCGAAATAATCACTTTCAAAATTATTTAAACAGGATTGTATAAGTTGATATGGTTTGAAATTGAAATTATATTTATTATTGATAACCATAATAAAAATCAATGAGAAATATTCATAAAATTTATTTATAGATATTTTAAATCAGTACAATCTTTAATTGAATTTTATTAAACTTGAATAAGTGTTATCTTGATATTCGTTTTTTAACAAGCTTTGACCTACTTACAATGTTGAAACATGAATTCAATTTATTTCATTATAATCATTGATATTAGCACATCAGTTGATTTAATATCGATTTGTACTTTTTAATTGTAAAGATAACAAACAAAGTAGGATTTGTGTATAGATTGTTGAATATGAGTATTTCAATCATGGATTAATGTCTAACAAAACATGAACATGTCAAGGCGCGGTTAGGCAAAGCAAGGAGAGCATTTTGATATTTCAAGAACATCTCAATAACTTTGAACAACTGTCGACCAACACAAATACAAATGTCAAGACAGTTTTACTCTACGGGGCTGAAACTTGGAAAACTATCAAAGCCATCATCCAGAATATACAAGTATTCATTAACAGTTGTCTACGCAACATACTTTGGATCCACTAGCCAGACACTATCAGTAACAACCTTATGTGGATGAGAACAAATCAAATTCCAGCGGAGGGAGAAATAAGGTATGAGCAATGGAGCTGGATAGGACACATATTGAAGAAAGCACCGAACTGCATCACTAGACAAGCCGTCACTTGGAATCATGAAGGACAAAGGAAATGAGGAGGACCAAAGCACGCAACTTACGTCGAGAATTAGAGACAGGCACTAGAAAAATGAAGTAGAAAGGAAAGCTCGGTACAGAGTAGGTTGGAGAATGCTGCTTGGCAGTCTATTGTGAATTAGGGATAACATGCTTAAGTAACCAAGTAAGTAAGTATTTATTGATTTCAGTTAGACGATTGCCCAAAATTCAGAACGCTCAACCAGCTTGTTTAGTTATCTCACGTCTGATTATTATAATTGGTTGATAAACTCCACTGACCGCTTTATTGTTCTTCATTCAAATATTTCTTAAGTAAAGTCCGCTGAAAATCTAATCAAAAACTATGTCGATATGTGTGAATCATATCTTTACTGAGTTAAATTTGGAATTGTTCTCAAATTTTATTACGTTTTTAAACTCAATCATTTTTCAGGTAAAACTCACTGACACTTCATTATTCTCTTCTGAGAGAAGTTCCGATATATATGTTAAAGGGTGGATAAAAGGTGTTGGAATCGACGATCAAAAAACCGATGTTCATTACAGGTTAGTGAAATATTTATGGGAAGTTGATTTAAATAATCTCTTAATGTTACTGAATTCCTGTTTAATTTTATTTCATAAATCTTTCATTTATACAAGTGAAATGTAAGATCTTATGAATAACATTCTAAGCCTTTACGTTCAAGAACTTTTTAGGTTGAAAACTGTGTTAGACATATGTAGTTCATCCGAGCCATCGAGCTTTTAAAAACAGACCTGATATGTTTAGACTCTGTCAGCCAATCATATAAAAATTGATTCACGAAATGGCAACATCAATGGTTTCTCATTTTTAGATACTTTCCTTATGGAATAACATATGAAATGGATTTGACTCAATGTTTGCTTGAAGATAATAATCCTATTATCTAATATCCGATAATTGGATTGTGACTTACATACTCTCTTGGTTTATTGATACTCGTCAATAAACGCCTTATTCAGATTCTTAAGAGAAATATTGCTTCCTTTTGTAGGTCAGAGATTTGGATCCAACTGTTCAATATCCAAGAAAGTATATACGCATGACGTATCAATTAGATAAGAAGCCAAATTACATTTTTACTAGATAGAGTACTCTTAGCACAGAAGACACTAGACAACATCACACTGGTTATTATTACGTAACCTAATAGTATTAAGCATTATTATTACTAACTTATTTATTTGAATTATTGTTAATAATTGAAAAACATACTGACAATACAGAATATAATAGCTTCAGAGTTCGGTCTTTCATGAGACCTTAAAAGTTAATTCTGACCAATGTTTGCCCATTAGTTGAGATCAACAAACCACTATGAAATGACCATCTAGCGCCTACTGTTTTCCAAAAGTTTCCCGTTGATTTTATTTGAGTAAATAAAACTATCGTAAAGGTTAAGTTGGTATCCAACCACATATGTGAACTTCTTAGGGCAGGCATCATTGTTGTCTATGTCATACAATATATTTGATTGATGTGAATAAATCTACTTCACATTACATTTCACTTTCATCATCAGTCAGTCAGTTACAACGTAGAATTTCGTACGTACGTGCTTACATCAGTTCAGGTTGCCATACCGTATTAGCACAGAGATGCGATTGTCAATTCAAATGCCATAGTAGTAGATGTAGTAGAAGTATTAGCAGTAATCGGAGATATTAGGGTTGGACGATATTAATCAAGAAGTAGAATCTAGTGAAATCAATTTAGAAAGAGAAAGGTGGAGGTGATGAGGAATTCAGAAGATTGGAATTTCAGAGAACACGAACAGTAGACGCATCTGCGCCATTGCAAACGATTTTCAGCTATCTCGTTCAAGGTCTCTGACCATCGATTACTATCATCTTACTGACCCCAAACAGGTAGTCTACATCTAGTAACATGACTCAACCCACCAGTTGGTGACTTCATGGATTTGAGCCATGTTTTAATTTGGTTGCCCCAGGCTTTCTCATAATCTCTCTATTCCTACACCACAAAATATCGCTCGACGAGGCAGTCGGTAGTTGGACATTCGTAACACATATCCCAACCACTTCAACTGATGAAGTTTCGATACTTCATCTACTGATTTCTCATCCCGACCTTGCACTCGTTTCGTAACTTTAACATTGCATACTCGGTTGTTCCATGATATACGATCAACGCTTCGAAAACACCTGTGATCAAATACTAATAGCCTACGAATATCCTCTACTCTGACTGACCATGTTTCGCATCCATATAGAAGAACGGAGGAAACTACTGCTCAGTAGACTCGTCCTTTAATTAGCAAATGGATATTTCGCTTGTGCCATAAGTGACACAAGTTGGCATATTCCTTTCCAAAAAATTTCAGCATAATTCTACTACATACTGTTTGTTTGAGAACCAACTGTTTCAACTAGTAGATCATAACCAATTTGCCTCATTAATTTAACTTATAATTCATTTTTCTCTCTGTTTGGTATGATAATTTTAGATCGTTATCTGGTGAAGGAAATTTTAATTGGCGTTTTATATTTCCATTTGATTATATTAAAGCAGAAGATAGAATAATTTATCCAATTAAAGGATCATTTGACATTGAACCACATATGATTAAAGCGAATTGTGAATTAACATTACAAGTATGGGATGCTGATCTTATTACAAGAGATAATTTTATTGGTAAGTTATTTCGCATTGAAATCATGAATCAATCATTGTTAGACCACTATTAGAAACCAGGAAGTACTAAGAAATGGCCGTTCCGTTCTAGTATGGAACTCTTCAACAGTGCGCATGCATAATTCCTGCCATCCTCAGAACTCAAACTCAAGCGCTAGCGTGATCGCTTAACTTCTAGACCATTGAGGTGACACCCAACATTGTTATAATGCCTAACTTTGATTAATCAACAACAGTCTCTATAATTCTTATAATGAATATGTACTCATTTCATATAAATTAAGCTTCAGTTATTGAAATGTTCAAGTCCATATTTGGTCAAATGTAGTCAAATTCCAGTAATATAATAAATAATATCAGAATATTTTTTAAGGTTAAATTTGTCAGCTATTGTTTTGGATTCTTAGATTAAACTTTTAGTAGAAAAGTTTTTTTTCTTCAAGATAGTTGTTTCCTACTAATTATAGTTATCTCATTAGTACAAACTACACAACCTTGATCTCGAAGTTTGGCATGCATAATACTTTTGTGTTTGTAGTCTATACTACTTACTGTATTATGTCAAGGCTACACATGCCTTGCTCTGAACAAATCAATCGATCAACTCTTCGCAAATTATATGACCTTGTTAGTGATATTGGCTTATGACCTTGGATGTTTTTATTTCACTGTGTATGTCTGTGCATCACACATATTCTACTCATCACACATCTTCAGCCGTCTATATATTTGTCTGACAGTAAATGGGGTTGACCCACTTGACTTCGCTTTCTTTTTGCCTTTCTTCGCTTCGCCCTGATGGTTGGTTCTCATTCTTATGTTTGTTTGTGTACACGACGAGCGTATGAAATATGATAAGACCATGAGAAGGAATTTTGAGGTATTTATATTGAAGCATTTATCGTTAGTAAAGGCATTTTTATGAGAATGTGTTTTCTAATGAATTATTAAACTGTACAAACGGTATACTACTCCGATCAAGGTCACTCTTTTTCCATTCAAACCTAGACCAATCATACTTCCCTCTTGATTATTATAATTGTGATTAATAACATAAGAAGTTAGGATTGATGAAGCTTACTCTTGTTCAGAGAGAGGGACAGTTATCTTTAATGATACTGCCCAACTAAATTAAGGAATTATGAATCAGTGATTGTTAAATCACCATTCGAAACCTGGAAGCACTGAAAGACGGCCGTTTTGTCCTAGTATGGAACTCACCAGAAATTCGCACCCACAACCCTCACCCGAGGGAATCGAACCCAGGACCTCCGGTTTCACGCGTAAACACTTAACCTCTAGTCCACTGAGCTAGCTTCGTAAATAAATTGTTGGAGTTCTAGTGCGAAACCATGACCACTGGAGTTCAACTATGTCGGATGTACTCAGTTGCCTATGGAAGACAGTGAGTGAGGTTGTACAATACCTAGGATTGATTAAAGTTAGACATTAACACCGCTGGATGCTAGCTCAGTAGTAAAGCTCTCGTGAGCGAAACCAAAGGTCCTGGGTTCGATTCCTGGGTGCGAGGGTCGTGGATGTATACTGTTAATGTCATCTCTCTGTGCTTCCAGGTTTCTAATGGTGGCCTAAGAATGATCGATTGATCACTTCAATGAAACTCAACAATCTTTATAACTCCTATATATTACACATCATAAAAATATTAATGTAAATTTATAGAATTTATTACTTTCTAGTGCATAGAACTCATCGAAATAGTGTTTTAGCACACCTAAAATGGTTTTTTTTTAAGTTTTACTTGCTAATACATTTCGTGTTGACATAACTAGCTATTCAATACTCCCTATCGTTTGGATACTATTGATTTTCAAGTTTTGAATTAGTTTAAGACTTGAGTGCAACTCAATAAAACTCAATGAAATAAGATTTAAAATTACGATTTTCAAACTATATCATCTAAATTAGATTTTTATGTGAAAGTTTGTTTTAGTAACGAGTACATTAGAAATGAGGACTGAACCCTTTTTAAGTTTGCATGTGGAATTCAAATATCGTGTATCAATAACAGAAGAACTACCTCCGGTTATTGATGATAAAACCGTTTACAATAATAGTGAGAAATCTATTTTTTCAATTATAGAGTAGAAATGGTGATGTCAAACATATTAAATGCATAAATCTAACAGGCAAATTGAAGCTATTTTTTAAACCTCAACCTTAAACCTTGAATTCTGAAAGCAACTTGTGGCTCCGAATTTGACAGACAGCAATTCTTATATTTTCATTCATCCCTATGGTTACAGGACATTTTTACATCATAGCTGATATCAGTTCATGATGAGAATCGCAACCTTGAATTAAAACAAGGTTAGAGAAGCTTAAAAATCTGTTTACTAATAGACACGAATATCCTATATCGATCCCCTCCTGTGTAGTTACAGGTTCTCAATTCAGAGAAGTCTCGTTCTCCCTCGTAATCTCCCTAGATTTCACTGATTCTCCAGTTGGAATAAATTCTTGATGACAACCATCTCTCGATTATATATTGGGGAACAAAATTCCTAATAATCATCATTAAGGTAGACCAGGGGAATCTGTTTATCAGTGCACATATTTTTATTTAGGAACAGAGTTATAATAATATTGTTCACTTAACATAAAAACTACAGAGATAATTTATTTTCGTTTTGTCTACTCTCTGGTCATTTTATGATAAATAATAACGGATATCAATGAGCTCCAGCAAAGATGAATGTCGATATCAATGTCATGTTATTTACGCAGTGTATATCTGTATGATAGTGTAGTGTGCCGATAACTGCGTGTTCTTAAGCTCGGTTTATAAATCAGAAGATGAACTCGTATTGATGAATACGTTTATTCGAGGCACACCACAAAGCGAAGCGGAGAAGCGAATTGGAGAAGGCTAAGAGCCAACTCCTTGGATTACAATGCGAGCGAGTGAGTGAAGCGATTAGGAGAAGGCTGTTGAGCCAACTCAAAGAGATAGAACATGACTAAGAATATATAGTCAGATAAGAATAAGACAGACATATGACAAGCGAAATAGGTATGCACACACATGAATAAAAGCGACGAATGATTGACAAGGTCAAAAGCAAGCGATACAAATCATGTGAGTTCATGAGGATATTAAGAGATTAACATTAAAGCGAAAAGTATGAATATGCGCGCAAGTGTAAACAATGTTCAGTCATACCAGCGCATACAAACCACACAATAATAAAAGTCAATGGTACATATAAGTTATTGTTTTACAGATGGCTTGGTTAAATAAATTAATCGAAAGGGCTTAACCAAGTAAGATGTGAGAGGACTGAAATATATGTGGAGGCACTACAATAGTACAAAAAATTACTGACTATAATTGTCATAACCAAAAGCGAACAAGCTGTACTGACAAACTGTGGTCATTAAAAACTAAAAACCTTGCACATATACTTCCATTGGTTTAATATATCTCGGTAACCAAACACACATTCTTGTATTCAGATTGAAGCCATATTTTTTTTGTATTTGAGCTTGTGATATTGTTCAGTTGCACAGACTTATAGAAAAACAGGACAGGGTTCGAAGTCAAAAACTTACGGTTAGGAGTCCAATGTTTTAAACACTAAGTCAACACTAAACTACAGAAGGTGGAATGCAATGATATAATAATAATAGTCTAGTTATTCAATAGAAAACATAGAGTTTAAACAAAACAAAGACTTGTAAAGAGTTTACACAGAAGTTACTAGCAACTAATTGATGATTTGAGCATTTATTTTGCTGAAAAATGATTCTACAATTAAGACAGGAGATTGATTATCCCAAAATATACTGGATAAACTTTCTAATTATGACAAATGATCGATCAAGATAACATTGAGAAACACATACTGTCAATTTTTTCAACTAGAGTTATGGAGATTAGTGTTCGACCACTATCAGTAATCTGGAATCACTGAAAGACGACCGTTTCGTCCTGGTATGAGGATCATCAGCAGTAGACATCCATGACTCCTGATACTCGCAGGATTCAGGCTTAGTCAGTAACTAACAAAGACAAATGGGTGGGGTCGCGTGAAATCCCTAGATTGATCAGAGTTAAACATTAACACCGTTGGATGCTGGCACAGGGGCTCAGAGGCTAGGGGTTCGCGCGCAAGAACTCCTGCGAGTAGCGGGAGTCGTGGATGCGCACTACTGTCCAGTCCCATACCAGGACCAAACGGCCATCTTTTAGTGCTTCCAGATTTCCAATAGTTGACTGATGATTTCAATGCATTCGTACTGTTAAGGTATTTAGCAAGTGTTTTAAAGACCTTCTAATTAAGCGGCAAACTAAAAGAGGAAATGAGGTGATAAATGTGTATTTTTTTTTTGAACGACAATCAGTGTAATCTATGAATAATGCACAAAGGAATTCAATACCGACTAAAACATATTTTACAGTCAATTTGCAATGGATGTGCAAATTAAATGAGATTATGAAAACTGAGAAACAACGTTAATGATCAAGCTGTACTGTAGCCACTAGTCTGAATGACTCAATATCACGGATAATGTGTTTGGGTGTTAAACCTACCTGTTGATTGCTTCCATCAGTGACAATGAGTGAAATCTTGTTTGTGCTAATTATAAAAATATCGTAAATATATTTTTCATTTATCATACAGTTGTAATCCATTTTATACTACAGGATGCTTCATAATTCTGTTGTAATGTTGTGGATATGCACTGCTGAGTTCCATAGTTAGACAAAACAGTCTCCTACTAAGTTCAGTGGTTGTTTGACTGCTATAATCGTCTCCAGGTATGCTTGAAACTATTACGGGTTCACTTTAGTCGATAAACGAGAACGAGACAATGAACCAGTGTCTAGGTAGTCTACCTTGATATAGCGTAGAAAGTATATTCTACAAACACCCAGCAAGCACAATCATCTCAAGCACACAAACCGCGCTTATTTATACATCATAGAAACGTCCTTGAGACATTCACGAAAATAGCACACTAAAATAACACAGTAGCCAATCACAGTCAAGGATTTTCCTGATGGGAAATGTGATCCCAAGGTCAACTGATCAGCACATGCTCAGAAACGTAAAATCCAAAATTAAAGTATTTATCAATCGAGTTCTTGGGATCTAACGTCCTCAGCATTGACCTGGATCAGTTCTGGATTTCAAAGAAGTAACAGTTATATATACCACCTGCCTTTAAATTGTGTTTAAATGAATTATCTGGAGAACTTTTCACTTTCTTTTAACAGGATCAATTACAATGCGTCTTTCATCTTTACCACGATGTGCAAAAACAGCAAAAAGTTGTGGTCTACATCAACTGGAACCAGATTGTCCAAGATTTTCAATGTTCAAAAATCGGACAGCACGTGGATGGTGGCCAGTTACTGCTGAAGAAGAAGAGGAAATTATTGTTCAAGTAATGTGATTAAAATTTGCCTCAATAACATGTTTAATAGGCCTAATCTTAAGGAAATTTTGAATTCATAGGACAGTTTTTATATTAGTATGTTGCGTAGACAACTTTCAATGAACACTTCCATATTCTGGATGATGGCTTTGATAGATCTCCAAGTTTCCACCCCATACAGTAGAATTGTCTTGACATTTGTATGGAAAATTGTGACTTTGGTGTTTGTTAATAGTTGCTTTGATTCCTGGATGCTCTTCAATTGTAGAAATGTCACTCACGCTTTGCTTATTCATGTCTACACATCTGCATCAGATCCACCTTACTCATACTTGGTGCTGTCCAGATTTGTAAAGGTTTTTACGTCCTCCATCAACAGTGATTTAGTCGGCGCATGTTGTGTTTTATCAGAGCACCTTGTGTATGTTGAGACCTACTGCTGCTGAACCTGCTGCTACACTGGTCGTCTTCTCTTGTATTTGTTGTTGTGTGTGCGATAGAAGAGCCAGATATTGACGTCTTCATTATTTCAGTCGATCACCAGGATAATGAGAAAGGGTGAGATTAAACAACATTTCATAGCATCGGTCTTGACTTCGAATGAATAAGGTCATTGAATAGTACTTATTTTTTCAAGAATTCTTCTGATTGGCTAAAATATCAATCTGAAGATTCATAATTTTATTTATTTTTTTTATACTATTGATCTTGACCTATAGAAAAAGCTGAAGAAGTTTTAGAATTAGTTCTAACCATACAAAATGCTCGTTTTCGCTACTTTTTTTGTCAAAACTTGAAAATCATAAATTTTTCTCAAAATTAAAACAAAATTTATATTGTGTTATGCTCATCAATTGATATGCTCGAAACTATTATGAGTTCACCTTAATCGGTAGACAACAGCGAAGACAAATGATCCAGTGATACGATAGGCTACTCTAATCCCAGAGTCCTAAGGCCCCACTAAGTAGAGGAAGAAGTCGTGATAAGATTTAGAAAGTGTATTCAACAAGCACCCAGAAAATATGAGGTCGACAAACACACAAATCGAGTTTATTTGTACATCATCGGAACGTCCCTGAGGAGACCCACAAAAATGGCGTACTAAAATAACACATCAACAAACAACAGTCAAGGATTTTCCGAGTGGGAAATGTCATCCCCCGGTCAACTGATCAGCCCATGCTCGAAAGCATAAAATCCAAAATTAGGACCCTTATCAACTGAGTTCTGGGGTTCTAACGTCCCAAACACTCAGCAGAAGAATAATGAAAGCTTCTTAACCAAAACGTCTAGCTCAGATAATGAAACTCCATCAGATTCATCTATCTGAGCTACAAATTTTCTCCATCAAATATCCTTATTGTCTATGTTAAGGTGTTTAATTAATCACTCTCTACTGATTTATGTTAATCCTGAAAAGATTGTTTTTTGTTAACAATGGATAATGGTTAAAAGTAGAAACAATCATGTACATTTCATTCTGTTGTGAATGAGAACACAGGTGATGGCAACCGAATCAAATTGTATTTAACGAAAATTACAGAGTTACTCAGTAAAATCGGAAAACCATATCGTAAATCGTTCATTTGCAAAAGATCAGTTCATCCTATGGAACTGGACTGTTCCTGTTTGTGGTGGTGTTTCGTTCTCTGAGCTGGTTGTCACAACCAAAACAACCAGCTCAGAGAACGAAACACCACCACAATCATCCACCTGAGCTACAAATTTTCTCCACTGTTCATGTTGCCAAACATCAATCCATTGTCACTATTCATGCGTTTCATACAAATTCCATTGTTTCTAACTCTTCCTTTCTTGATCTTCCCCCCATATTATGCTACCAGGCTTTACTTTGACACTCACGTTATATACTACTTATAAGTAGTTCGCACAGCACCACACTCGTCCCCCCTTTTAATAAGCTGTCGTCGTAGTCTTTCTGATCTCCGTACAGCCGTCTTCTTTATCAGTGTTTGTGGCTCGCCCTCTTGGCGCACTTGGAACCACCTTTGGAGTTCACTGGCATTCACGCGTTTCTGTTTGTTTCCTTTCTGGATCGTATACACTGCGCCGCGCCTCTCGGTGACGACGTACGGTCCCTCCCACTTCGGGATCAGCTTACCTGACCCTGGCCCTCTTCCTGTGGTATATTTCCGTTCTCTACACTTCACCTGGTCTCCAACTTCGAATGGTCTCCAGTTCTTTCTCTCCTGTTCCGACTTCTCCTTGTCTGATGTTTGTTTCTCTCTCACATTCCTGATTGCTTGTCTCCGCTCTGTTCTCAACTAAGATAATAGGGACATTGGGACAAAAATGTTTGATTTCTGGTGCCCATTTCTCAGAAATGTTTTCCAGGCTATCAGGTCTATCAACTACTGTAACACAGTAGAACAACGTCCGTTTCAGGATAGTTCGCGCCACAGCACCACAATTCTACTTAAAAACTAATCTAAATGTACTTGAATCTAAGTGTTGATATTCATACTGGAACTTGGACTCATTGATTATCTTTTCCTTTAAATGTTAACATGTTATCTTATTAGCTGGAGAATTGTACTCACGAGTATGGATTTTAGTTGCTAATTCTTTGTCGATTCCCTTTGTTAATACCGTTTTAATAACATATCTTTCATTTTTTTCCTCACTATTTGATTTTTTAGGGTAAAATTGAATGTCAGTTGGAAATGTTGAGCAGTGCTGAAGCTGAAAGTAATCCTGTTGGTATAGGTCGTGAAGAACCCAATGGACTGCCGAAACCAGAGTATGTTTTTTGAATGATATGTGTTTTCAAGTTGTTCGATTGACTTTAAATAATTGCCTTTTCCTAGTTACTCACTTAATTGCGCCTGTTATCCACAATGGAGCATACGTAGGTCACCGGCCAGTATTCTCCAACCTATGCTGTCCTCGGCCTTCGTCTACAGTTCTGTACAAATGTTGTCCATTCTTTTCATGTCTGTCGCCGGTTCTCGGTGTAATGTGTTTTTTGGTATTCCTTTTTTCGTTTGATCTTGAAGGTTTCAAGTCAGGGCTTGCCTCGTGACACAGTTCAGTGCTTTCCTCAATGTATACCCAATCCACTTCCATCGTTTCTTCTTGATTTCCTCCTCCACTGAAATTTCGTTTGTTCTCTCCCAGAGTAGGTTGTTGCTCATAGTGTCTGATCAACGGATCCGAAGTATTTCACGTAGACAACTGTTAATGAATTCTTGTATCTTCTGAATGATGGCTTTCGTAGTTCTCCAAGTTTCCCCCCACATACAGTAGAATTGTTTTGACATTTGTATTGAAAATTGTGATTTTAGTGTTGATTGATATTTGTTTGGAGTTACAGATGTTGTTCAATTGTAGAAATGCAGCCCTTGCTTTGCCGATCCACACCCTTACATCTGCATCGGATCCTAGTTGTCGTACAATATTTTGTGGCTTCGTTCAATTTAGTGTATGGCTCACCACTTTTGTGGTTGCATTCTGACTTTGATATTTATAAACAATTAAACATACTATGAAATAAATCTCCCCAATATGTCATATTTAAACCAACCCTGTTTGTGTGACGGCGGTTTTAAGAAGCCAAATGTGGTTCCGTGGATGAATTTATTTCGTGCATTCATTTAAGCAGACAGATTTTAGAATGGAAGGAATGCAAGCAGAGTGAAATGAAGTGAAACCCGAAAGCCAAATACGGATTTAGTTTGATAAGTAGCTCTACTAGGTATGATAGTCTACATATAGAGGACACGCTTGTCTCTGTATCCTTAAATGCCAGTTCAGTTACTAAACCCCATTCTGATAGCATTCATTTTTTCAACCATCTGTAATTAGTGGATAACATAGCATCTGGGTAAAACTCTTCTGTGCCTCTCTATTTAACCTCTATATAGTTCGGTTAGTATCGTATTTCAAGGGATACAACCCCTAACTCAGATCCTATATAATCGAAAAATGAAATTTTCACTATTGCGAAAACACTATCACTCGACATGAGATAAAGAATAATGAGAATGTTTGAGACCATATGCATCAAGCTGGAATGCACTTATTACTATCCTATGCCATACGATGTATATTACTTACTTACTTACTTACTTACTTACTTACCCCCAATGGAGGATAGGCCGCACACCAGTTTTCTCCAACCAACTCTGTCCTTGGCTTCCGTCTGCAGTTCTGTCCAATGTTTGTTCATTCCTCTCATATCTTTCTCTATTTCTCGGTGTAATGTATTCTTTGGCCTTCCTCTTTTCCTTTTACCTTGAGGGTTCCATGTGAGGGCTTGTCTCGTGACGCAGTTAGGTGCTTTCCGCAATGTGTGTCCTATCCACTTCCACTGCTTCTTCCTGATTTCCTCCTCCACTGGAATCTGATTTGTTCTCGTACACAGTTCGTTGTTGCTGATGGTGTCTGGCCAACGAATACGAAGTATTTTGCGTAGACAACTGTTCATAAACACTTGTATCTTCTGGATGATGCCTTTCGTAGTTCTCCATGTTTCCGCTCCATACAGTAGAACTGTCTTGACATTTGTATTGAATATCCTGATTTTGGTTTTGATTGAAAGTTGTTTGGAGTTGTATATACCATAGGCTTTATTACCAAATAGAGCTGAAGGTTTCCTACGAGACGTGAGGTTCTCTGTGAACATTGTGGTGGCTTGGCAGTGCTTTCACAAGTATAGCTAACAGTCCATATACAAAATTTGTTGGCAAAGTGACCGATTTCATTGATACTGGTGGTTTTTTTGTAACATTCCCCAGGGCCATTGTCATTGGGATTCTCTATCGCATATCACGATCGCTAATAATAATGAGTTTGACAGTCATGACTGTTGATCAACATTCTCCAACCTACTCTGTCATAGACTTTCTTTTGCAGTCCTAACCAACTTCTATTTATTCATTTGCTGTCTGCCTAAAGCCCTTATGAGGTTATTGCCGGTCCCCAGCTCGGATAAAAGAGGAGGGTTGAGCATGGGGGTTAGTGACCTCATCCCATAGAAAACTAACTAGCTAAAAAGAATCGCTAACCAGAAACTGATTTAAACAGAAAACAAAAAATGAATTCACTCGAATATTGTTCTTATTCTCATTAGCTAGTTTACAAATAACACATGAGATGTTATTATTTATCAAGAAATCTTGGGCTCATTAGATTTTCTACTAGTTGATACTTGTCAATCAAGTATTATCTGCAATCTAGAAACAATCAATAAGTTTGAACCTTTATCAGCCTCATTCAAATAAACGATAATTTAAAACCATATTCAGCATTCACTCTTGAACATGATAGTTAATTAAAACTATTTTAAATAGCTTTCTTTATTTATCACAATTTGTGAGAAGTTGCTTTATTTTCCCTGCAACTATTTTAACTTGTTACACTTTCATATTTTATTAAATAAAAATTCTATTTTTCTTTTTATTCAATAATTCTGATGTGTTTAATTAACTTATCGATCGATTATTTCTGTTTTTTTTTTCTACAAAATCAATCAATCAATCAATAACACGACAATTCAATAGATAAAAATTGACTATTGAATTCTCTGAATGTAAAATCAATCTGTCAATTACAACTACACAAATATATGGTTAAATTATTATTACTATTACTATTATTAATACCACTATTATTATTATTAGGTTAAAAATTTATCAGATAATTTCAAACATCTCTATGATAAGATTGTACATTGAACATAGACATCTATACCTCTAACACATACATGTAAATACATACATGCATACTCATGGCATGTATAGCAATCCTAGTCACCTGTGTTGTTTGGAATGAATTATTCATTGAAAATTAAACACTAAATTTAGTTTTAATCAATTAAAATGAAAGTATTAGTACAATTTATTATTATTATTATTCACATATTTCTTCTATATGATTCAATAATTTTTATCTAAGTTAAATTACTAATTATTATACAACTTGTATGTAGTAATTATCAAGATTACATAAATAAATCATAACTGTCTATTTAAAAAAAAACTATTTGAAATTGTGTGTAAATGATGATTACTATGATTAGCAACATCATCATTGATGAGATTGTTTTAACCCTAGAATTACAACATTTCATATTCATTTTCACTTGTACACACAAACATTGTGGGAATTGATACATTCACTCACTGTGCAGCATTTAAATCTATGATGAGAGCAAAGATCTACTGTAATGGGAAATGACTATCGATAGGATTGAGATATTTACAGTGACTGATCACTACTGATTAATTAATAGACAATATCGTGTATTTAGTAAAAAAGGTTTATGGAGATTGTTAGATTTTATAGTTTAAGTTACTGATAGATATCCGTTAGACCATCATTGGAAAACAAGAAGTA